AAAATATATAACAAATCATATAAAGTAATATTAAAATATATATTTATTTAAAAAATAACTATAAATATTAAATCAACTTAAAAATTAATATAAATAATATAATCAATAAAGCATTAAATGTAGTAATGAGTTTTTTTAAAAAACATTAAAAAATAATATTTTTAAAGTTAATTTTTTTTTTAAATAACAACTAATAAGTACGATTCTCTCTCTGTATATATTAAAAATGTTTATTGTGGATAAAATTTATAAAGAAAATATTTTAATAAATTCATATTTAAAATGATTAAAATAACTTATTTTTACAATAAAATTAACTTATTTTTTATTTTTTTTATAATACTTTGTTAACCCAACCTAATTTGAGTCTTTTTCGTGGTAAATTTTTAGCGATGGTGTTATGAGGTGCAATGTGATTGAATAATCTTGAGAAGGTGCTTTCGGCCAAAGAAAGAAAGAAAAAATCTTGGGAAGGTGCAAATGATGCAATGGTATGATTTTTTGAAAATAGGTAATGGGATGTAATGGGTATGATGAATCGTTTTTCATCGGTAGTCATGTAGAAAACCAATGCAAGGCATTGGCAAGACGACGCACGGTCTCAGATTAACAACAAATTGAACCTCTTGGGTTTGCCCAAGAAAGTAGTAAATGAAAACCCTCTTGACTAATTGGCTTGGAATAAAAAAAATGTATATTTGCTAATCTTCAGTAGGATGTTTGAGAAGAACTATGAAAGTAAAAAAGTTATTTCCGGAAATTGAAAACTGAGCTGCACCAAAATCTATGGCAGAGGTAAAGGGGTAGTCATTTGATCAATTTGTCTTCATAAATTCATGATACAAATGCAATATAGGAACCAGAAAAATGGGATCTGTCCTTGGTTTTATGTTATTCCTGTTCTCAGCTTTGTTCCTCAGTCACTTCTCTTCACCTTCTCAGTGCACTGCACTACAAGAAAACACAGCTTCACCGACCACATATCACCGAGGTAAGAAGTTTTCTCGGTGAAGCATCCATTTACCGACAAGATATAAGTCTGCAACTTGAGAAACAGTAGAAATGGCAGTAAGATATATTATTTATTTTACAGACGTAATTCTCGTCGGTAATTTACCAAAATACATACGTGTTACTTGTCGGTAATTGTAACCAACACTCCAACCGGTGGGGGAAGGACGGAAAGGCACATTACCAACGAGAAGTACGCTTGTAAATTAAATTTGGAACGAAACTCTCGTCGGTAATGGAGGATCAATTTCCAACGTCTATCTCCTCGGTAATTTCCACTCCCAATGCACCTCCCCCCGCCAACCAGCTGGCTGCCTGCGTCAGGGGTGCAGCTTTTTAATGAAGTTTCCGACATAGTCCTTGTCAGTAACTTGCCCTTCAGCAACTCCCCGCGAATCCGGCTGGTGGCCACTGGGTGTTGCAGCTTTTTGTTTGTTTGCCGATAAGATATAGGTCGGTAATATGTGTAGTGCCAACTTGATCCTTGTCGGTGATTGTCCAGTCAACGGGAATCCTGATGCAACGCAGAGATGAGCAGCTTTAGACTGTAGCAATGTGGGTTTCGTCGGTAAGCTTCCCTATTGCC